TAAAGAACAGGAAGGGGAGGGGTGCGGCGGGGGAATTCACCTCTGCGTCTTTCCCAAATGAAATGAGCGTGCAGGGGCTGAATCAACTGTATTAACATGGCTAAAGTCAATCACATCTTAACGTTCTTCCATATTTCATTCATAATATCATAAACACAGGCCTATCATTCTTTCAGGTTTCTCTGAATTGTGTGAAATGGCCGAATAAAAAAAGGAAAAACAAAACGATTTTGTGGTCACCCCCCATCAAGGTCAAATGGTTTAGTCCCGACTAAAGGAAACTTACTGAGTCAGGAGACAAACAGAAGAGATGAACATAAAAAGGCTAAAACCACCAGGTGCCCCATTCAGGGGGAAAAAAAGAAAAAAAGAGCAGAAAGATAAAGGTATGTAGCTCTCATGATGCATGTTTTCAATTTTTTGAACCAGTTAACTGGGATTTTAACGGTTAAATGCGGTCAACTAATGGCTAACAGAGCTAATAGGGCTGAAATATTTAAACGAATATTCAAATGGTTTGAAAAAAGTCCTTGAATCGTTTTTTACTGATTCAAACTAGGATTTGTTAAATGCTCACTGCAGCCCGTGGCCTGCCTGAACAACAACAAACACATGTTGATCATGTTCACATAATAATAAATAAAACAACTCTACAAGCAGAAGAAAACTCCCCAGTCACCACTAACTATCCTGTTTATTTATTGCAGATGGCTGCACTGATTATTTTTTACATGATTTGTTCTGTAAAAGTTGGCATTTTTGGTAGTCTACAGTTTTTTATGTCAGTTTAAATTACAATTTCAGAGGCAATTCTAAAATATTATGGATCATGATAAAGATCTATTGGAGATCTACCCCAACTTTTGGACTGCTCTGCCAGTCACTGTGGCTCAAGCTGAGAGGAGCTTTTCAAAACTTGATCAAGTCATACCTGAGGTCATCTATGTTTCAGGGGCGGCTCACTAACCTGGCTCTGATTAGTATCAATCACTCAGTAGGGGAGCAGATTTCATGTGATGACATTATTGATGACTTTGCATCAAGGTTAGGTTTTAATTTTAGTTTGTGTTTTCTGTTCTAAGTGCAATGCTGTAGTGATTATCTTTAGTTTGTTACGTGTGAAATATTTTTGCTATTTAGAATATTTATTATATATTATGTTCATATATTCTTAATATTTAGTTATTGTTTGTTTTTGTATATTTGATTCTATATATTTTGATACAGTATATAATGTATAGTGCTTTACATTCTGACAACTTCATAGTAATTAATGTAAATATGTGCAACTTAGAAAAATGAATGTTCAATAGTCGTTCTAATAAAACATGCCTGTTTGTAGAAAACATGCGTGTGTTCATGCAGGTGGGGTGGTGTGGTGGTGGTGGTGGTGGTGGTGGTGGTGGTGGTGGTGGTGGGGGGGGGGTTGGGGGGGGGGGGGGGGCGCTCAAAGGGGGCCTCGCCCGGGGAGTAATTCGATGTAGAACCGCCACTGCTCAGAGTGACTGATTAAATTCAGACATAATAATCAAAAAGTGTTTTTTTCAGTCAACCACACCTTTTAAAACATCTGGAGGAACAGAACATTGTTCTTTCAGGAATATTATGGGTGAAGAAAATATGACTTTTAAATTATACCAAATTAAAGGTTTTACATTATTTAACATGCTTGAAAGATAATAAATCAAATCTGAAACTATTTTATGTAAACATAAAAAAACTACACAAATGTTTTAAATGTGTGCATGATTTTATTCACAACAAGCAAACCCACGCAGGGGTGCCCAATCCTGGTCCTCGAGGGCCGGTATCCAGCATGTTTTAATTTTAATTCTGCTCCAACACACCTGATTTCAATCAGCAGGTGATTAACAGGCTTCTGCAGAGCCCGATGAGATGCTGCACAGGTGATTCAACCAGTTACTCAAGTGTGTTGGAGCAGAAAAAAACACAAAACCTGCTGGATACCGGCCCTCCAAGACCAGGATTGGACCAGGATTGGGCACCCCTGCACTAGAAGCTAAGAGGTGATTTATCCGTTGGTTTTATGAAATCTTTATAACTCAAATAAAAACAGCAAGCATCTGGACATCAGAGCCATGTAATTTAAAACTGATTTACAAGAGAGCAGCCTTTCCGATCCCCTAAGAGCCAGCCTGCATGGAATGATGTGGTTTATCTGTCATTGGGGAAATGACGGCTACCGAATGTCCTTCTCAGAGCGAGCATTAACTCAGGTATAAACACAATACATTTATCACCTAGAGCTGATAAGAAATTGGAAATGAATTAATTAAAAACAGAGATTATTGATTCAGAGCTCCAGCTGCTGTTTTTGGAGAGATGTCATTATCTTTGGAGCCACCTTGACCGCTTTTTCATTTTCTAAAACGTTAATTAGAAAAAAAAAGCTTTTACTTATAGTAAAGAGCAGCAATAGAACAAAGAATTTTTCTGAGAGGTTTCAACTGTCCTAGAAATGTACACTATATGTTAAGATTTAATGTATCAACTTATAATTAAAATATTATCTTCCCCTTAGTGGGTTTCAAATACCATAAAACACACTTAGATGAATTGCTACAGGTGGCATTTCACATAAATATGTATTTAACTAAAACTTTGCCAAAATATAAAAAACACATGTAAGAAACATGTTCTACATTTAAGGATTAATGGAGGAACAAGCTCAGGCCTAGTCCACACGTAGCCGGTTTTTTTTAAAAACGAATATCCGCCCCTCCAAAAACTTGCATCCACACCACCTCGTTTTAAAAAGAAACTCTGTCCACACGTACCCGGATAAATACGTTGTTAAGGACATGCCAGACCTGTAGGCGGCAGTACTTCCCCCGTTCTTAACCTCGTCCTTCGTCTGTGCTCTTCCGCAAGGAGCAGTAATTCCGCTTGCAAAAACAAACAAGCAGAAAGCGCTTGGACAATTGATAAAGCGAGCGCAGCTCTGAGGGCATCCATGCTGTCGGCTAGTGTAAACACAGGTCGCACACGTGATGTCAGCATTTTTTGTCGCGGAAAGTGACGTTGCGAACCTTAAAACTCCGGTTTTGTCCGTCCACACGCAGACGCCCAAAACGGAGAAAACGCAGATCTTCACTTTGGCCGGAGTTTTTAAAAAGATTCGTTTTCGTGTAAAAAAACTCCGTTTTCGTGTGGATGACAGGCCAACGTAGAAAAATATCTACGTTTTGGCAGATCCCCGGCTACGTGTGGACAGGGCCTAAGAGTGCTGATCTATAAAAGCGGGCATTTTGCCAGTCTGGAGAATGTATTTGTGTGTAAACAGAACACTAAAGAGTTCTCAGCAATGATTTTAGAAATATCAAAAACACCCGTTAAAGGTTGAATATGGAACAGTTTAATACAATTTATTTATGTTTACATCTATCAGCTAATAGTGGGTGCCACTGCGGGTTGCCAAACTGTCAGCTTGGCACTGCGAGGTTGGCGCTGTGAAAAATGGTGGACTCTGCAAGTGAAGCAGCTGAGCCCAGAAGATGTTCTAATGTTAAACACTGTTGTAAAATAAACACATTAGTAGAAATGAGTCCTTACCCTTTATGGTTCGTCACTGGATATGATGTTGGCTGGTCACTCCACGTATTGGCAGCAAACCTGGTATCCCAATGACGGGAAAACTTGTTCTATTGTTGCAACTACAACCTCCATACACTAGATGTCGCTATGGTGTGCGTGATCCATATTCAACCTTTAAGGGAAAGTTGCTAAATACATCTAAAATTGTCATTTGTAATTCTTCACTGTATTCTGAGAAGTATGAAAAAAACCTTTCCCAGGAAGTTTATTTTCAGTGCTAATCAGGGTGCTTTAATAAATGAATATGTTTATCACAAAGTAAACATTCAGAACAAACACTTCATCCGGCTCTCATGTACAGTGGTGGATGTTGATGGTTCGGTCTTGTCTAAGAGCTACAAGACTAAAGCCTGGTTTATGCTTCTGCAGCAGCTCCACGTGGGAGGGACGCACACAGATTGATTGTTTTACCTTCAGGATTGTTTTACCTTCAGACTCCTCCGTCTCCTGGGGAGTATTTCAAAGCAATTCCCTGCCAAGACAACAGAGGGTGTAACGCTGCTCTGGGGTATCCTATCATGTATCCGGTCCAAGATGGTGTATTTAAATGTGTTTATATTGTGTTTTTGTACTTCAGAGACTTTTTAACATGGACAAATTTGTCTCTCATTCTCCTCCACCCCTTCATGCGCTCGACACCTCTAAACCCACATTTCCCGTCATTTCCGTCCACAAATAAAACGCTTGCTGTCTATCTTTTTAATCTCCAGTCATGGGTGAATAAACGTCCATATTTCCAGAGTTTTTCAGTAAGGTAAGGCATATTTGTTTTTGAGGGCACAACGACTGTGCTGTTAACGAAAGCGGCATTCTTACCAATCACAAGCTTATGTTCTCCATCTCGTCCGACTGATGTTCATGGGCTCAACTCCTTACGTCCTTGAGAGTCTGCTGGAGAACCCTCACAAGGACGGACAAAGGCATTGCAGTTCTCCGTACCGACACAGAAGCATAAACTAGGCTTAAGACATCCTGTAGTTACGGAGTGGGCTTTAAATTTATATTCAACACCATTTTTCTGAGTCAAGATCTAAATTCAAAGGGTTGCTGTAGTTTTCAAATTGATTTAGATTTTGATTAGTTCACATATTTTAAAGCTAATTTCAGTGAATTCATATTTTCTATGTTGTGACACATACAAATAACCTTTTATTATTACTGAATAGCCCATAGTAACAAAAGACATGAGTTTTCTCAGAAAATAATAAAGACAGAACAATATTCACAGAAAAATGAACTGCATACTTAATTAACTTAAATTAAATTAAATGTACCACATATCCAGCAGATCCATAAAAAAATCATGATCCATGAAAGCCATCATCAGCACATGAGCAGGAAGACATGGTTAATTGTGTGTGCACTTGTGCACGGCAGTGACTCACCTTCGGGGTAAAGGCTCAGGAGGACAGTCTGTGAGGGGGCTGCTGGCGGTGGGAGGGGGCTCTCTGCGACTCCTCAGAGACTGGCTCCTCTGAACCTGCCTCAGCACACTACTCTTTAGGTCCAGCAGCGTTGTCATGTTTTACTAGCAAAAACACAAAGAGCAAACATCAAGATACAATCCAGTCAAGCATCTTAAGGCAGCAGTAGCTCAACAGCTTGAGCGGGTAGGGGTAGTCCAGTTATCGGAAGGTTGCAGGTTCGATTCCGGCTCTGGACAGAGAATTCTGCTGTTGTGTCCTTGGGCAAGACACTTAACCCACCTTGCCTGCTGGTGGTGGTCGGAGGGACTGGTGGCGCGTGTGCTCGGCAGCCTCGCCTCTGTCAGTGCGCCCTAGGGCAGCTGTGGCTACATCGTAGCTCATCCCCATCGGTGTGTGAATGCGTGTGTGTGAATGGGTGAATGATACACTGTAGTGTAAAGCGCTTTGGAGTCCTTACTCTGAGAGGTGCTATACAAGTGCGGGTCATTTATCATCATCATCTTTAATTGAACTTGTGGAGGCACACTGGACAGCTTCACTAGTCCAACACAGGGACATAGAGACACAAATGAACATTCATACACTCTGATCTGGCATGGTTAACCTGACATATATGTTCTTCGTCTGTCAGAGAACCACAGTTCTTAACACATGGGGAGAACCTGCTGACTCTGCACAGAAAGGCTGAAGACAGGATTGGCAACAGTGCTGCCAATTGAGCCACCATAACAAAAACTAGGACTTGAACTTTTTATATTTATTTTCTTAAAGTAGGTACAATGTTGTTTATGTCCATTTAAAGCAGCAGTCTGTGAGTTTTCTCCTTTTTAGGAATTTTGCATGATTTATTTATTTATTTTTGCTTAAATATGCTCACACACACTTTAGCTATAGCAAATTCAGTTTTGCTGTCAGCTCTGGTCAAAATGGCCACCATAGTTACTTGACCTGAATCAACATAAAAGTAGTTTATGTTTAGTTAAGAGTCCCTTTATTAGCATTGCTTAGTGCATTATTAAGCATTAATAAACAAAGGATCCATTCTTGATATTATTAACTATTAAGTGTCCTTAAGGTTAGGATAAAGGGCCAAGGAGGGTTTCTGCTTAGCAATGCATTACTTAATGTTACAATTTCAAATCATCGGTACAGTCTCCTCCCACTCCCCCTCCCTCCCTCCCTCCCTCCCTCCCAGGATGGAAATTCCCCACACTTGGCCATGATGACACTCTGTGCCTCCTGGCAACTTCCACTTTCATGGAATTTTTCAAATCTTGACTGGGGTGGAGTTACATTTTCTGATGGTGTGCAGTCCTTCTTTATGCAGCTGTTAATACTCTATTTAACATTTTTAATGACCAATTATTAAAATTGGTCATTAAAAATGAGGGCTTAGGGCTGCCAGTGCACTAAGTAATGTTATATTAAAGGGACTCTTACTGTAACATGTTAGCCATTGTTTTTACTCTGTTGATTTTAAAGACATTGAGCTATGACTTGATGCATCAGTAACTGACAGTCAACTGCATTGTATATTTGGCAGACTGCACAAGACAAAATAAGATCTTGCATAATGTTTTCAAATTTTGACCAAAATATCTAAAAACACAACATTAGATGATCCCAATTAAACAATGGTGCATCGTTTTGTAAAAGGTCACAATTATTATTGTCAATAAAATATGAAAGGTATTTGACAAAGGATAATTTCCAATAAAATTATGGCTAAGAAAATGTTGCCGAAGCGGTTAGGTCCATAACTTATCACTGAAAAACACTCTCTGGTCGTGTATCACATCACAATCACCAAAAGTCACAAAGATCCCGTGTACAAGTGGGTCCACAGGAACCAAAGAAAACCTCACAAGGGTTCCACAAACTTTGATGGTGACACCACCCATAAATCTGATAACTCAACTTGAATTACAAGAAAAGGGTGGGTGGGTTTTTCTTCCGCTCTCCCTCGGTTCTCTGTTTCAAGTCACCCAAGTTCTGTTTTGAGTGTATATGTGAGTGCATGGCTATAATTCATGTCTAAACATAATGTGCAGACTTGGTATCATGTTGTCATGCTGTGGGTTTCTGCAGATCTAACGACTAAGTTCAGTGAAAAGTGGTTAAATCTGCTGACTTTTAAGTTGATTCCAAATTCAAGTTTATTTTTATTTTCTAGATAGTTATAATTTTTCACCAATTCTATAAGCTGATTTAATTTAGAATTTACTTTTCCTTTTATGACACAAATCCATTAATTCCTTTTGTGTGTAGCGTCCATTTCTGGCCTAAAAGGCCCTGCCCTGGTTTGCTCTGCTCAAAGCAAAACCAGAAGTTTCTGACACAAACCTAATCTTCAAAGATGTGTCAAGGCCACTCATGCTTTGTCCTTGTCTAAACTGTTTCTCCATTCCAGCTCAAGAGAAGAATGAAGACAAAGGACTCTTTCTTTTAATAAATCAGAAGAACTCTATTTTTAATAAAGCTAATCAAACAAAGTGTTAGCCAATAATAAAATGTGAACCAATCTGTAAAATGAAAATATTAATTACTTGATATTATAATCCTATAGAATATAATAAGTAATATACCTTTAAATATTTCCACTAGAGACTGATCACACGTAAGGTTAAGCCACATGACACATTGCTTTTACTGATCCAATCGGAATCTTCCAGATCGGACGGAGGCGTGGTTTTGGTGGTGATTAGTAAATCTGTCATCTTTTCATTCGACCATAAACCAAAACATCCAAATTATAAAACTATGCCCACGTCATCTTAAACTCCAGTTTAAGCTTTCTACAGAAGTTGGAGTGGCCAATCCGTAACTTTCCTCTTCAGCTGAAAGAACCTGACAACAAGCTGGATAAAATCTGTTGCTGTTCCACCTGCTGCAACGGTTCCTTTCAGAATAAAAGCTGAACCATCACAACCCCGTTTTGGGTCTTGTTAGATGCCGATAAAACTGTTGTGACCCGGAAGTATCTCAAGACTCGTCTGGTCGGCAACAGCTGCTTTTCCTACCGGCTTCGGTTCCAGAGAAGTTCAAGCTGGACCTCGACATTTCTGATCTAACGGAGACTTCCACAAAGGGTATGTAGGCCGACAGAATGGTGTCTCAATGTGTTTACGGATCTCCAAACGTAAAGCTTAGCACGAAACATCATCTTCGCTCCCATCAGAACTAATCATTTCTCCTGATTTGCTGGTTCTGAACAACATTCCACACTACACCATTCTCCGTCTCACTTCACCTTAGTTACACCATACATTTAGTGTTTAAAGTCAGTCTAGTTTTAATTTGTTTAGTAATAAATCTTTAAACTTTTAAAACTTGACTCTCTTTCTTTTGTCTCTGAGTTAATACGAAGTGGTTGCATCATCCCTGCAATAAAAAGTTCCAATCTTCTGGTTTAAATTATCCAATGGTCCATAAGATTGATTTCATAGTTCCTATGGAATCTCACATTTTATGGTTCATTAAATAATATGTAAATGTAATCGTTACCACAGTACATTCACATATAGGGTTTGATTACTAACACTGATTAACTTCTGGTGTATCTCATTTCATATAATTCTGGTTTTGTTTTTTCTGTCAGTATACATACATATTTCCATTACATTGACTACCAATGATTACTTTTTCCCACAACATTTACACTTTTCTTTGATTTCATTGCTTTTAAAGCTTTCATTTTTCCCTTCCATATATTATAGGGTTTTGTTTATTTTGTTTGTTTATGCACCTGTTTCAGTGCACGTAGTTTACTACATCCACATCTTTCAGCTGACCTCCAAGCACATAGCACATATAGGGCACATATAGTCCTAGTGTTTATTTATTTATTTATTGTTCTTTTCCATCAGACGCCATCTGTGAGGATCTATGGTCAAATGCCCTATGTGTGTGTGTGTGTGTGTGTGTGTGTGTGTGTGTGTGTGTGTGTGTGTGTGTGTGTGTGTGTGTGTGTGTGTGTGTGTGTGTGTGTTGATGCTTTGCTGAGTTTCGCCAGATGTCCTCGTTGCCTGTAGGACATCGCTACCTTCTCCAACCGTCTCCTGGCTTCTGCTTCCCCCTGGTCTGGGTTCTGGTTCTTCTGGAGTTCTGGACATCCTCTGGGGACTCCTATCTTCTGGCTTCACTGTGGATTGCTGTGGTTCACTATGGTCTGGTCCATTCTCCTTATGGCCCTGGCTTCCTTCTCATCATGGTCCCTGCCTGCAGATCTCGCTAAGTGGGATTACAATTACAATGACTGGGATATCTACTGACTGTTCTGCTGTGTGAACGTTTGCTTTTCCTCACTCCTGCTGCTTTGGTGCTTCTGAACTAACTCTGTCTTCCTCTGCTGAGTTCTCAGGACCTCTAAGGTTGTCCAACGCCTCATGGTCTTCTGTCCATGACCCCGTGCCCTTGGAAAGGGGGGATATGTAACATACCAAAGGCCAAGTATTTACATAAAAAATGACCAGAAATTAACTTTTAATTTGCAGACACAATCTTTACATCTATCTGGTCTCCAAACAAGAAAAGCAAGGATATACGACCTTGCAACCAAATAAGTGAGCCATAATAAGTGCTGGAAGACAAGGTCCATGCAGAAGATGAGACTTTCTGCACTTTCACTCTGAATAAAATTCATCTTTCTTGAATCATAAATTACTTTACAACTTATAGATTGATATAATCATATATGTTGAATGAACAAGATATTTAAGTCCCAAATTTTTTGAATAATCAGTGCACCTGTTTCAGTACACGTAGTTTACTGTTTTTTTCTTCTTCCGGCTCTTGGAGGGTGCAGACGCTTTTTTTTCTCCTCTCCTCCATATCTTATCCTCAAGGCCTTTGTCTGTCTGTGTGTACTGGGTGCACGGCGGCTTCTGCATTTTTTCTGGAAACTGAAATTCACTAAATTGGATCTCGTCAGTTGGTCACTCAACGCGGTTGATAAAATTTTTTCAACGATGAGAACGAGAGAAGGGGCTCCCGGATGCCCCTCCGGGACAGACCAGCTGTCTGTGGAGGACTCTGAAGATGCGTGGATATTCGTGGTGTTGGTGTCAGGTTTCCTGCTGATCGGCATTGGAGGCTACCTGGC